CTGGATCTTGTGACATTGGTGGTATTTTTCCTTTTTTTTTTTTCAAGTTTTTAATTTGTGGTGATTTCTTTCCTTGTTCTATATAGTCATTTTTCATTTTGTTTGTAACTCTGTATTCTCTTTCTTAAGGTGATAAGTTCAGCCCCACAAACCTATATCCACTCATTTCTCTGTTTTATGCATTTCTTCTTCTAATGGAACACAGCCTGCAGTATTCTTCTGACAAAAGGTATGTGGGAGGGGCTCCACGCTAGCTCAGTCAGTAGAGCATGTGACTCTTGATCTTGGGGTTGTGAGTTCAAGCCCCACATTGGCTGTAGAACTTACTTAAAAATAATAGAATCTTTTATTTTTTTAAAAAAAGGTGTGTGGGAGTTTGATGTTTGGGGTTGTTTGTCTTAGATCCTGGATATCTAAAAGTGCCCTTTTCCTACCTTATAATTAATTGGTAGTGTAGCTGGGTATAGAATTCTTGGTTGGAAGTTATTAAACCTTCAGCATCTGGAAGCTATTGCTTTATTGCTTTATTATCTTCTAGCTTCCAGGGCTGCTGTTGAGAAATCCAAATCCATTTTGATTTCTGTTCCTTTGCATGAGATCCATTTCTTGTCTCTGGAAGTTATAGAATCTTCTTTTTGATCATAGGTTTCCATGCCTTGATGTGAGCCTATTTTATCCATTATGCTGGACATTACATGACTCTTTAAATTTGGAAACTCACATCAGGCAGGCTTGGGGGATTTCTTGAATTATATCATTAATGATGTCTTCTCTGTTTCATTTGCTCTCTCTTAGCATTATCATTACTTGAGAGATTATTCAGATGCTGGCTTTCCTGAACTGGATCTCTAATTCCTTAATTTTTCTTTTCTATTTTTAGTTTTTGTCCTTCTACTTTGCTTTCTAGGAAATCTTCTAACCTCCTATTTATTTGTTAATATCAATTATCTTTTTTTTTAAATTTCCAAGAACTCTTTTGTAGATATCTGAATCTTCATGTTTCATAACATCCTGTTCCTTGCTACATAGATATAATGCTGCCAGCTATCTCTCTAAGGAAGTTAGTAACTGTTTTTGTTTTGCTTTATTTTGTTTTCTTCTTCTTATATAGTCACTTTCCTCCAAGTTACTTTTTTGTGTTTGGCTAGTTGGTTGATTTTGACTACATGTTAGAAACTTTCCTCAGATGTCTGTAAATTTTAATTGGTCATATTTTTTTTAAGATTTTAATTAATTAATTTGAGAAAGAGAGAGAGAACACAAGCAGGGGAACAACAGGCAGAGGAAGAGGGAGAAGCAGTCTCCTCACTGAGCAGGGAACTGATGTGGGATTCGAGCCCTGGACCCTGAGATCATGACCTAAGCCAAAGGCAGACATTTAACTGACTGAGCCACCCAGGCACCCCTGTCTGGTCATATTTAAAAGAGAGATTAAAAAACTGAGTTGGCGGGAGTTACCAACTGGGAGCCTCATAACTATGCTCTGGTTATCCTGCTGATGGGGACAAATGTCCCTGTCTTCAGCTGTCTCCTCTTGGGCTGGTCAGATTCTCCAGGAGAAGACTCCATCTCCAGGATGGATGATAAAGTCCTCTCTGTTGCATTCTGGGAGGCAAGTTGGGGCCAGGCAGCTGGAGTGTTCAGCATTCAGAACGCATAGGCATACACTCCTTTATCTACCTGTTATTCAGAATGATTCTTAGGCCTTCAGCTATGCCTGGCCCTTCTGATCCAGATCCCTTTGTTTTAACCTTCCAGCAAACAACACTTCAGACTTCTACTGCTGCAGAGGGCCAGTGGCCCAGCCAGGAAGAATAGAGGAAAGGTTCCAGGGATTGAACAATAGCACTTCTCAGATAGTTTTCTGCCAGTTTCCTTGTTTTAGCTCTCTTTTATGGTCCTATTCCATACCTTATGCTACTACTTCCTAAGTTGTTTTTTATTTTACAGCTTTTTGTGGGGGTTTTCTGGGTTTTTTGTTTGTTTTGGGTTTTGTGGGTTTTTTTTGCTTTGTTTTTTAGTTTTGATTGTTCCATGGTATAAATCATACTATTTCTCACTTCCCCACCACCACTACCACCACCAGCTTAGGGTTCTCCTGCCTCCAGGCTCCTATGGCAGTTACTGCTTATCATGCTTTCCAGCTTCTAAGAGGATCTTGCCATTATCTTCCCTCTGTTCTCTTGTCTTTGTAGGCTTAGGTTGTTGTTGTTGTTGTTGTTGTTGTTTTAAGCTCTGTTTTGTAGCATGTGTAGAGTTTCTGGAGGGTCCAAATTAGATGGAATAGTTTGTTTTAAAATTCACCCTTCCATCTGTCATTTTTCTCTGGCAATAGACGTGGCTGCCTATATTTCTTTCCAGCTCAGAAATAACCTTTGAAAACTGACTCCATCCATTCAGCCACATTCATAAAACAAAACATTTCCATACCTTGACAATGCTTTGCTCACATTCCACTCCAAGAGCCAAGACTTTCCTCAAGATATCTTTTTTTTTTAAAGATTTTATTTATTTATTCATAGACAGAGAGAGAGAGAGAGGCAGAGACACAGGGAGAGGGGGAAGCAGGCTCCATACAGGGAGCCCGATGCGGGACTTGATCCTGGGTCTCCAGAATCACACCCCAGGCCGCACGTGGCACCAAACCACTGCGCCACCAGGGCTGCCCCTCCTCAAGATATCTTGACTTCAACTGTGTAGTTGGGTTTTCATGCAAAGGATGCAGGAATACCTTCCTGCTTTGCTCACCTCTTTCTCATTGCTGCCACTGCTGTTTGCGACCATCCCCAATCCTTCGCATCAGAGAATTATCAACACCATTGACGGAAAGTTGGTGTCACTATCCTGGGGAAGACATTAAAGCAAACTTCAGAGAAGTAAGACAGTAATGAAGTAATTTGTTCCTTAGGCTTAAACTTGCCAAGCAGTCATTATGATATTTTGAATTCAACATACCACCACTCTAATATTATTATTATTATTATTATTATTATTATTATTATTATTATTATATGCAGGAAACAATGGTGCTATGGATGCTAGGAGATCGTGCTGGGGTATAGAATTAGGAAAACAGACAAAATCTGTTTTCACTCTCTGGGTCAGCATAAACATTTTGAAAGAGTATTGGAACACCTGGGTGGCTCAGTCAGCCTTTTGGTCAAGGCTCAGGTCATGATCTCACAGTCGTGGGATCGAGCCCCATATGGGGCTCTGTGCTCAATGCAAAGTCCCTTCAGATTATTTCTCTCTCTTCCTCCCCTCTACCCCACACTGTCACACCCATGTGTGTGTGCTCTCTGACTCTCTCTCAAATAAATAAATAAAATCTTAAAAAAAAAAAAAAAAAAAAAACAGGGTAGCCCAGGTAGCTCAGCAGTTTAGTGCTGCCTTCAGCCCAGGGCATGATCCTGGAGTCCCAGGATCGAATCCCATGTCAGGCTCCCTGCATGGAGCCTACTTCTCCCTCTGCCTGTGTCTCTGCCTCTCTCTCTCTCTCTCTCTCTGTGTGTGTGTGTGTCTCTCATGAATAAATAAATAAAATCTTTTTTAAAAATCTAAAGGGTGTTTAGATTTTTCTGAGATTGCCCTCAGCTCATGGGGAGAACCAAGATCTTCCCTACTCTTCTCATCTTCCTTCTCCTCTCTAGGCCTGTTTCCCTAACTATTTACCTGATGAGGGAAGTGGAGAAGATGAGCTCAGAGGTCCATGCAAGCTCACAGTCCAGGCCTTTCTAGGAAGAGGGAAGGGTGGGGTCCATGCCCTCAGTCTGGACATCTCTGCCTCCCTAGTGGACTGTGGGCTCCAGAGGACAGAGTTTGCTTTATTCTCATCAGGGAAGACACAAAGAAGAAAGGGCAAGAAGCTCCTAAGAGATGACTTCTTACCCCATGTACAAGGAGAGCAGGGGCTGCTGGGAGATGTTCAGTGCCCCCAGGTATTAGACAGAAGTTGGGGCTGAACAGTAGGATGATGGTCTTGCCTGGGCTGGGATTCCCCTCCCAGCTCTCCTAGGCTACTCTGGATGGCCCTGGCCCAGCCTCCGGCTGCCCATTGGCACAGGTAGCTGGGGGGGGGGGCATGGAGTCATTCTTGGAGACCCTTAGTCTGCCAGCTGAGTCCCTGAACGTCTACTGCCTTTCCCTGCAGCCACCTGCCGCTAGGCTTGGTGTGTGGCCTACAGGGTGGAAGGAGAACCCACAAGACCACGGAAGCCAAACACAGGAAGCACACAGGCAGCTGGGAGGAGGCAAAGGACCCAGGGCAGTTGATTTTTACAGCCCCACGACTGGCTTGGAGGCTCTGTGCCCAGACCACACATACTACTCCACACACAATTCAAGGAAGGTGCCCTGTGGACGTGTTTAGATTTCTTCTCTTGGACCTTTCCAGCCTCGTGCATTCATTCATTCACTCATTCGTTCGTTCTTCAAACACCTACATTCTTCAAAGCAACTTCGTTTGTAGAAAACCCTTCCTGCGCTGTCAAACCCTGCCTCTGTATATGCCTAACTGGCCTTGGGCAGCGTGTCTCCTCGTAATGTGGCAGGGGTGCTGTGAGCTTCAGAGGCGCGCCAGGTCAGGTGCCTGAGGCTGCAGACTCAGTTCCGCAGCCAAATCCGGTAGGAGGCCCACAAGAAATCAGGTCTTGGGTGATCCACAAGTATGATTCCCTTGCAAAATAGGGCTCACAAGGGCTTCCTCGTGGGCCGGACAGCGAAGGGGGAGAGCGGACGGCTTCCCCAAGGGCGACCTCCGCGCCTGCAGACTAAGACTTGAAGGCTCGGCCTTGAGAGGGAGGAATTACCCGGGAGAGCGGCCACAGGTCCCCGCGCCCTGGAGGGAGGGGCGGGCGCTGCGGCGGGAAGGGGAGGAGGAGGCAGGGGAGGGGACAGGCTGGGCCAGCTCGGGCTCCGGGGCGCAGGGCGGAGCCCAGGCCGGCCCGCCCGCGCGCAGGTGAGCCAGCCGGGGCGGAGCGCAGCGCAGCCCGTGCCAGGCCCGCGCGCCCGCGGCCGCCGCTCCGAGCCGATCTCCCGCCGAGGCCGAGGCGCCGCCGAGCCATGGGCGGCCGGAGGCGCGGGGTCGCGCTCGCGCTGCTGGGGGTCCTGCTGCTGGGCGCCGGGCGCCTGCCGCGCGGAGCGGGTGAGTGCGCTGCGGCCCGGGGTGGCGCGCAGTGGGGACGGGCCCCCGAGGAGGGGTCCCGCGGAGCCCAGGGATGCCCGGTCCGGGTGACGGCGACGCGGCCGGTCCGCCCTGACTGGACGGCCAGGGTCCCCGGCACCACCGGCTCCGGGGCGCGCCGCGTCGGGGGGTGGCCGTGCGCTCCCGGTTCCGAGCGCCGCGGTACCTGGGAGTGTCCCCGAGGCGGGGGGAGCCCGGCAGTGGGGGGGCGGGGGGTGAGCGCCGCGCGCGCCGACGGCGCAGGAGGAAATAAGGTGCGTGCGCCCCGGCCGAGTCCCGGCGACCTGCCGCGCGCCCGGGGCTTTACCTGGGGGCGCGGGGGCAGGCGCGGGGGCAGGCGCGGGGGCAGGCGCGGGGGCAGGCGGGGGGCGAGCCGTCCTCTCGCCCGGGCCAGGGAGGAGGTGCAAGACAACTGTGACTCGGCGCCCCGCAGCCCGGCGGATCCCCGCTTCCCCGGCCCGCGCTCTCCGTCCTCAGCTCCCCCGAAGTTCGGGAACATTGACTTGAAAATGAAAGCGCGGGGCTGGGGAAGGCCGCCGGGCGTTAGTGCCCCGGGGGCGCCGCAGGCCCGCCCCACCCCCCCCGCGCCTCGGGGTCGGGTCTGCACTTTGCCCGCCGAAGTGGGTCGGCGTGGGGGCGCTCCCGAGGAGTGTGTGGTTTCCAGTTATCCCGGTTGCGGGGAGGGGACCGCCGCCCCCCACCCCCGCTGCCGCAGCGCTGCCTGTGCCCGCGGGGAGGTGCCCTGCGGGTCCTGCGGGCATCAGAGCAACAAAGAACCAGGGGTCTTCGTGTAAGGACTTGAGGCCCTTCCTGAAACTAGCGCAGTGCTGTGATTTTTAAAGAGCTGTCCAGGAAGCGATTATGGCCTTTGATCATTCTTTGCGGCACCTAAGGGGGGAGGGGGTGTAGTTGGCAGGCAGGTAGGTTGGTGTGAATTAAATTAAGGAATAAAAAGAAGAAGAAGAAGAAAAAAAAAAAAACAACCAAGCGGGTGCGCTGAGCTTTGGCGTTCTGGCAACTGCCACCATCATACACCCACGGGAAGGCTTCCTGGTTCCTTCCTCCGACAGCATCGGGGTGACATTGCTGCACATTCCATAGGGCGTCTTAAGGCCTCATTTAAAACCTCCTGCACGTATGCATGTTTACTGTAATACACGTTCCCTGTCAGCCTTAACTTCCCAGATTTCCTTTGGAGACGAAAATCAGTTTAAGAATAAAGAGGTGATTTCGCTAGTGAAAACATGTGTCCTGTGTGTGAGAGAAGGAAAAAATACATGTGTCCGATCGCACTTGGGAGCTGTGCTGAAACTGGGGACGGTTTGAGAGGTTTTGCATTGTCTGTGATAAGCAGAACTCCTCCGGTAGGAATGTGGTGTAAATTAAGGCATTACTCGTGACAAAGACGACAGGCTGGCCTGAACTGGCCTCTGTTAATGCGTCTCCTCTGCTCCCCTGTGGCCTGAGAGGCTGCCATCTTGATCTCCGGAAGCTCCCGCAGAGTCCCTTCCTTCCAGGAAGTTCCTGACGTTCAGGTGTAAATACCGGGAGGCCTAGGAACTAGCAGCTCACTTTCTTAAATCCTTCCTGTGGTCCCCTGTGTGGGGTCCTCTGTGTGGCCAGGTCCCTGGGCCGAACCGAGGGCTGCGTCTTGGAGGTTAGAGCTGTTGTTGTGGGGTGCAGGGGCCTTGCCTGAGGTCTTGGAGCTGGCCTAACGGGTTCGGGGCCTTTGAGGAGTCACTGGAGTCTGTCCAGAAGAGATGGAGAAAGCCAGAGAGCCCCGCACAGTGGATTGGTTTTTTTAATCTCTGAACTTTCCACGCAGAGACTCAGCAGAGTGAAAGTGAACTTGGTGTCCCTGCGGAACTGAACCGCAGAGGGATGTTTGTGTCTTAGGGTGCTGTGTTTGGGTGGGTTTGGTGTAACCAGCTGCTCTCCCACTTCCACGAGTGAAGAACTGGTTAAGCTGGAGTCATAACCTTGTTAAAACCTCTACTGGGGTGGCTTTTTGAGAACTGCGGAGATGCCAGAGTCTGGGTCAGCGACCCCATTCTTGCCGCCATTGTTTTTTGTCAGAACTGTGAGTAGACGTCAAAGGATGTGTTCACTCACCCCGGATGAGTGTGTGTTCATCATTCTTCAGATTCAAATGAGGAGCTGGCAGCTGTTGTCTGGAATGTGTAACTGGTAGGACCGAGCAGTCTCCCTCACCCCCACAGATTTTCGTGACTTACGGTCACAGACGGCTGCTCTGCTGACTGTAGGGATGTGCTCTGCTGCTGGCCCATCAGCCTCCGGGCTCCCCTCAGATGCTGCCATTTTGTCTCGAAGACCTGCCCTGCCCCCACGCGTGCTCCTCTGGGGGTTCTCCCAGGCTCTCAAGGTAGGGGAAGGAAGTTGAAAACAGCAATTACAATGTTTCAAGTAATATATACTTATTGTAGAAAAATTGGTAAAAAATATAACCAAAATAAAAAATAATAATCTGTGAGCAAAGCACCTTGGTCACTTTGGTGCAATCTTACCATCTGTGTGTGTGTGTGTGTGTGTGTGTGTGTGTGTGTGTGTAAAGCCAAAACTGGGACCATCCATTGTATGGCTTTAACTAGTCCCCCATCGTTGGACATTTAGGTTGCTTTCCACTTTTCCTGACAGAACATGTCCGACGATAGGGGACTACTTGTATCAATTTTGATAAGGCATTAAAAATTACGTAGCACAGTTCATATACTGACATAAAATGGTGTCATCTTTGTGTTGTCGAGGTTATAAAATAGTATAAGCTGGATAATCCCAGTTTGATATATCTGAGAACAGGTTCTTGTTTACTATATTATTCTGCACCTTCTCGATGATTCTGGCCCACTGAAACTCTAGAAATGGAATTCCTGGCGTGGAAAGTAGAGATGTTAGGGAGGTTGGACACCTCCTCCCCTTTGGCCCTGTGGTGAGCTCATCCTGTGGTCTTGGTGTACGTTCCAGCCCGCGTGTGCGAGTGTGTGGTTTCCACACTCGCAGGCTATCCTCACTGTTTCAGTGACGTCTATGGAAGAAGCCTTTTCCTCCCTCTAGTTCAGCAAGCAGGGTCTGACAGTGTTGGCAGATGTTTAAGAATCTTAGGGGCACCCCAGCTAGATGGTACTAATAGTCCAGCAGTGATTTATTTATTTATTTATTTATTTATTTATTTATTTATTTATTTATTTTGCCAAAAACTAACCAAACAAACAAAAACCCAGGGGTGCCTGGGTGGCTCAGTCGGTTAAGTGTCTGCCTTTCATTTCAGGTGATGATCTCAGGGTCCTGGGATCAAGCCCTGTTCAACAGGGAGTTTGCCTCTCTCTCCCTCTGCCCTTCCCCCCACCTGTCTGCTCTCTCTCTAAATAAATAAATAAAATCTTAAAAAAAAAAACAAAAACAAAAACCCAGAACTGAATCCCCTGGCTTATAACACAAGCCTCACCTGGGACTCTGACTTGGGTTTAGGTTGGGGAGGGGATGGAGTCTGCTGGTCAGAAAGATTCCTGATTGAGCTCAAGGTAGGTGTGGCGGTAGGGGTGACAGGACCCCTGATGTGTGAGACCCATGGCTAAGGCTCTCCACCTGAGTGATTAAGAAAAGTTCGTACCCTCTAATTATCATTCTAAATTATAAAAATTATCCCACAATCAAATTATTTCAAACCACTTCCGACAGCCTTGTAATTAGCCCTTCACCTTCTCCCAGGCAGCTGGCAACGTTCTAGACAAGCAGGCTAGGAGAGCCAAGTTTCCTACCTCACCTCCCTGTAGCCTTGGGTTTGTATTCAGTGCATCATTTTTTAAAATCACTAACTACTACTTGTCATAGCTAACACATATTGAGCATCTGCTCTGTGCCAGCCACTCTTCTGAATATTTTATATGTCAGCATGGCTTGCTTACCATCAGTAAGTAATTCATTCTTTAAAACCAGACATTCTGCATGAAAATACTAACCGATGCCCTATGTCTCATTATTTCATATGGGAAAAACAATACCAACCAATGCACGACAACCTAACCCCCACCACACACACATTTTGGACACACACATTATGTCCAAAAGCATAATGAAACACAGAAAGACACCCATCTATAATTAACACCCAATTTTATTCAGTGTGAAATACATAAGACATCACTTCCGGATTGCCAAACCGTGTATACGGTTCTTTGCAGACAGCTGCTTTGTGTGTAGGAACTTGCTGTACCCCCGCCCCCACAGGCACTCGGGGCATCTCCACTAGATCCTGACACTCCACCTATTGTATTTGCATTGTAGATTGAGACCTTCTGAGTTCCATTTTGTTTAAAATGTTGTGTTTGAATCTGTAAATATTCATGTTTCCTCTATAGACACCCAGAAAGAACTATGATGGAGGAAACAAGGTTTGAGTAATAACAACTCCCCTGCTTTCTCCTGAGAAAATGTAAATTGAGGAGGTGCTCTTGAGTAAACCTGCTAGTGTTTTACCTCTCCATCCTCAAGCAAGTACCCCCATGAAGACCCCTGTATTGAGCACAGAGAGGTGAAGTAACTTGCCCAGGGTTACCCAGCTGGTAGGTAGTGGTGCTGAGATGGCAGCCCAGGTAGCCGGACTGCAGAGCCCAGCTCCTGTCACTGGTGTGCCGTAACCCCTTTGCACAGTGGGGCTCCTGAAGGCAGAGGACTACACATCTGCGCTCCAGATGTGTCTTTTCATTTAAAACAAAACAAGCAACGCTTATCAAGTGCTGTGTTCATATTTGTTCTGGGGATGTGTATGTCCTTTTAATAGTCAAAGAATTTAAGGACTGTGCTTTGAAAACACCTGGACATGGTAACAAAAATTCAAAGAGTAGGAAAGGGCACATGGGAAGAAGTACGTCCCTGTCCACCACTGACCCCAGGCTTTCTCGCAGAGGCAGCCATGGTTTCCTGTGCATTGTTCTTGAGCTATT